GGAAGCTTCTGTGCTCCTACAGTCTGTGTGTCTGCAAAAAGCAATACATGGATGATACCAAGGTCTACTGCCTGCATGAGCTGGGCCCATTTGAACCATGGCTGAAGCATTCCCCCTGCAAGGGAGGGACGTGGGTATATTTAACTGCTGATGGTAAGGATCCAGTTGAAAACCAGAGGCTCTTCACAGATTACTTGTTGAATGAAAGTGGGGAACATTATAGTAGAAAGATTACATTATTAACACCCAAACACACTGACCAAAATTAGCTTGACTGATAGTGTCACAAAGTAAGTTCATTCTGGCACACTGTAGTATGAAGTAGGAATATCATCTAAGATTCTTGTTAAATCCATAAATCGAACCCAGATATATTGTAGCCTGCAGACATAACTTCTAGTTTACAGGCAGTATGGGAGATAAAGAAGTTAATCCAGTGTCAGATCTTCTAAGAACAAATTCTCAGTTTGTCTTTTAAATCAGCATCAGTGAGAAAAAGAAGCAAGAAGGGAACGCTTCTAGATGGAAGCGTTCTAGTCTTAAGACATATGAGCAACTGTATTGGACCTTGAAAAATCAGATGTAAAAAGACAATGAAAAGAGATTCTCTCATCTGCTCCTGAAATAGTAATATTCCTTCTTTTTGGTTCTGTGATTTATCCCAATTTAGAATGAATTTTCCTTTATTTTTTAAGCCATTTCAGATAATCTTGTTTACTAGAGACAAAAGCATCTTAAGTGCTGGACAGGTAACAAAGAATAAAGTGAAGAACCCACCTCAGTGAGTTTACTTTTTTTTTTTTTTTTTGTGACTGGGAATTGAACTCGGGACCTTGCACTTGCCAGGCAGGTGCTTGTGCCACTGAACTATATCCCTGGCCCCTGAATTTACATTTTTATCAGGAGGAAACAGAGCAGTTTAAGTGAATACACACTCAACAGTGTTGAATCTTATAGTGAAAAATAAAACAGGGCAGGTAGCCTAGAGTGGGAGAGTGGCTGGGTACTTGTGCGCTATTAGCAAAAGTGTCTCTGAGAGGGTAATGTTTGAGTGACATAAGGGAACAAACGATGAAAATATCAGGGGCAAGGGTGGTCCAGGCTGAGGGAAGAGTGAATAAAGAGACACAAGGCTGGAGCCTGCCATGTGTGTTCAAGAACCATCAAGAAATCTTTTAAGCAGCTAGAGGAAAGAAGATGGAAAGAGAAGGAGAAGGAGGTGAGTGTGTGTGCAGGGTGTGTTGGGGGTAGATGTAAGAGAGATTGTGCAGGGCTCTGTAGTGAAGAGTTTGGCTTGATTCTGAGTGGATTTAAGGCAAAAGAGTGACTTGTATTTTAAAAGCATCACCACTTGCAGAACTGCACAGTATTTAGACCTGAGTGGAGAGTGATCAAGGGCAGTAGGAAGGACACCAAGTGAGACCAACGTAGTAAAGTGGAAGGAACCAGAATTGGTAAGATCCTGGATCATTTTTAAAGGACAACTGACATAACTTGCTTGTGGGTTAGAACCACCATTAAGGAGGAGTCCAAGATTTGTGAGTTTAAACAGTTGGAGAATGGAGTCGCCATCTGCTGAAATAAGGAAGCCTTGGAGGTGGGGTGGGATTCAGTTGTTTTTTTACCTTATTTGAACAATGTACTTTGAAAAGGTTAAGCTTCAGAAATTATTTAAAAGTAAAGAAGATTGGCAGCCATGGGATTCAGTTTTGAAGTAATACATTTGCGGTGCATATACAGAAATCTGAGTAGAGATATTTATTGCTTCCCTTTGAACTATTGTAAAGTATTTCTCATTGGATTCATATCATTCTAATTTCCATAATCCAGTCTTATAAATACTCAAGATTTTGCCTCCGTCTTCTGCTCGCTATCCAGCTAAAATGAATGACAAAACCAAATCTCCAAAACAAAGGGTTTTTCCTAGAATAGTAAATGCGTATGCTTTGGGGGACCATAGGTACATCAGAAAAGGTTGGGGCAAGGGAAACTTTCAAAAGAAAAAAGGGACAAGTCCATGTAGGTTGTTTTGAAACAAAGACCACTGATTACTAGGGCTTGTTGTAGGAGTAGCATTAGCTCATTGGGCGAGAGAGCTGTTATTGTGCACACGTGGCTCATCTAGAATACTGTGGTTTCGAGGAATTCCTGAGATGGTTTCTTCATGAGCGGGGGTGGGTGGGATTGGGGGGTTCCTCTTTTGTGGCCTCTGACTCCATTTTGCAAGGGTTTGACATAAGTAACTTGATTTGGGGTACTGACAGCGTCCATCCACATTCTCAATAAACCTTTCTCTGAATAATCTAGATCTGTATGTCTAACCAACTTTAAGTTCCAGTAACAATTGACTATTTCATCTGAGTTTCAGAAGAACTGCAGAGTTGTGTGTCAGTATTTCATAAGTGGATTGAGATGCAAATGGAATACTGAATCTGTGTGTGTCCTTTCTAACAGTTGCTTTCCTTTGGTGATTCCTGAATTAAACAAATTGAAAGGATGAGCGAACTGGAACAGCTGCGGCAGGAAGCGGAGCAGCTACGGAATCAGATCCAGGTGAGAACATGCTCATTTTGAATTTCTCATGCTTTTATTTAGCAACAGCAATGTGTAAAATTTGTTTATTTGATCCATCAGTGTGCATATATTAAATGCTTTATAAGGCTGAAATGGTCAACTTGTTTTTAACATGCCTACAAATCATTCCCAGGAAGTACCAATGCAGAAAAATGGCTTCCTGAGAAGTTAATAATATATCTGCAACTCTAACTGAAAGATAAACATAATACTCTCCTTGCTCGTACACCTAGAATCATAGATTTTGGGTATAATATAGCAAGGCAGATATTATCACATATACTAGGACAGTATTACTCTCTAAGACATTAGATTGCAACAGCATTAAAAATTATAAGAGGCAGAATTAAGATGTCTAACATCTTTTAATCTTTTTTTTTTTTTTGGTCGTTTTGAGACAGGATCTCACTATGCAGTTCAGACTGGCCTTGAGCTCACTTTGCAGCCCAGGCTGGCCTCAAACATACCGCAATCCTCATGCCTCGGCCTCCCGAGTTCTGGAATTACAGGTGTACACCACCAGCCTAGCCAAATACTCTAGCTTTAACAAAATTAAGATACTCGTAGAACTTTAAACATAATAGGATGAGGAAGAGTTGTGAAATACAGCAGTGTAGCATCATGGGGGACGGTCGGGAAAGAAGGTGCCTGCGGCAGCTGTACATCTCATAGAAGCGGGGTGCACCCTCTCAGGGACAACTCCAACAGTCCCTTCTTTGGCACAATGGGACAGACGCTTGTACCTTGCTGGCACCAAGGGATATCAAGGAAGGCAGAGCGAAGAATGAAAGGATAGATAGGAAAGCCCCTTGGTAAGCAGGGCGGGGGAAAGAGTGAATTGTATGTCATCTGGCAGCGGCCTGCTTCTTTTCAAACAAAAAGGTAAAAGCTAAAACAGCTTGCAGATGTAAAACAAAGAACTTCAGCAACAAAACAGGAACAGTCCCTGATAACTTGGAACATGGCTATGGCCCTGCCCACTATGAATCTCTTGCACTGGCTGTTTCAAAAGAGTTTGATGGATTTAAAAGTAAAGAATAAAATCTGTGTAGAGATATGACAGGAAAAAAAAGGAGGAAACAGAAGGGATGGCTGGAAAGCACGAGAAAAATGTTGCTTTGCAAGTGTAGTGAGGTCATAATGAGCACGGCTGAAAGAATTCAAGGAAGTTCATGATTTCATTGTGAATAAGGACCCTGGGTTGATATCGTACGTGTCTGAACAAAGTTGTCAACACAAAGGAGGGGTTGCTTTTGCTTGAGATGATCAGAGAAGGCTCGACCAGCTGATCTCTGAATCAGATGTTACAGTTGAATATCCCTTATCCGAAATGCTTGGGACCACAAGCCTTTTAGATTTCAGAATTTTTGAATTTTGGAATATTCGCACACACATAATGAGAAATCTTGGGGAAGGGAGTCAGGTCTCAACGTGAATTTTTTACGTTTTTTTTTACATATCTTCAGTGTGCCTGATTTTGAGTCTAATCTGTCACCTGAAGTCGGGTGTAGAATTTTCCACTTGTGGCATGATAGCAGTGCTCAAAACGTTTCAGTCTGGAGCCTTTCGGGTTTTGGATTGGATTTTCAGACTGGAGGTGCTTAGCTTGGCCTGCCACCACCAGAATGAATTCCCCACCTTCTCTGCTTTGTGTCACTTACTGCAGATGCCGAGCAGGAGCCGCCCATGATTGGCCAAATGGGTGGTCACATGCCCATCTCATTTAATCCTCATAGGCAACCTGTGAAGTAGCAAGTGTTGCTTCATTTTATAGTTGAGGAAACCAAGGCTCGGTGACATTAAGTAACTTTTCAAGGTAACTGAGTATTAAGTAGGGCGCAGAGCAGGTATGTTTTGACTCCTAAACCTGTGCTTTGTCACTGAAGCTGCACGCCCCCCAGGCGTTCCTCACATCCCTCGCTGCGGCCTGAGCCGGGGTCATACCAGCTTGGGTGCCACCGCGCCCTTCCCAGAAGCATGCATTGTGCTTTTTCACTTCATTGGCTTTTACCAGATTGCTTCCTTTGCCTGCAGTTATATTGCCTGTGGTCCAGTTTGCTGTTTGGAATCTTATCTATTGACTCCTAATCCTCCTTTAAAATCCTTGTGAGCGTCCTCCTGCTGGATTCATTCTCTTTCCCTTATTGAAAGGCAGCATGGCATGGGGCAGTGTGTCTGGGCTCCTTTTTATTACTCTGTGGTCATAGGCAAATTTCTGAACTTGCCTGAAGCAAGAATACCAGTGCCCACTTTATAGGTTTATGCAGAGGATTAAACACATGAAGGATTTAGACTAATATAAGTGGCAGTTCATTACTTGTGTGACACTTCAGACCTCTGCGACAGGAACAAGCTCAGTCTGCCTTGTGTTTTATAGTTACTTGTACTTGCATAGGAAATATGTCTTAATCATTTCCCCAGTTCAGTGTCATGGGCACAGGTGTTCACTGAGTCATATCCCATGATTTCAAGTGACTGTGTAGAATCCCATGTACTTTTCTCCTCTGTTTAATCATGTCACACTGTATTTAAAGAACGTCCATTCTTTGTCTCCTTTCCCTTCCCCTCCTTTCCAGAAATGTAATCTTACTATATTTTTACCCAGCTATAAGTGCCTGACTTGATAGAGTACATGCTGTTTAATACAATAAATGACTCATTTTAAACTCAATAGAAATAGAGAAGACAGATTTAGTTTTCTTTTTTTTAGATGCTTATGTAGGTATTTTTATTTCATGGAAAAATTTAAATATGAAAAAATCAGAAAGCAACTCTTTTCTTTAGGTCATCAATACGCAATGCGGTAATTGCCTCACTGTACTGGGGTACGCCTCAGCAGCTACCACAGTTACTCCAGCAAATCTGGTGCCTTTCGCTTCTGCCGCATCATGCAGAGCTAAAATTTTGTTTTCTTTTGTAATTGTTACTTCTTTGATTTAGAACAAGAAATATATCACATGTCTTTTTTTTTCTTTTCCACAAATGTTAATATCAGATCTTACATGTTTTCTTGTAGTGGACAATACGCAATTCTTTTATATACACTTTTAGAAGAACAGTAGTGCTCATGAGAATAAATTCTTGACATAAATGGATTATTTGAATAATGTAAACGTGTAAGTAACTGCTGTGAAGGTGTTGGAAGAATTCTTGTATTCTAACACAGTGTTTTAATTTTTGGTACTTTTTACTGTAGCTCAAAAATTTTCATGTACAGTTTTAAAATTGTATTATTGCTGGGTGTGGTGGTGCACACCTGTTATCCCAGCACTCCGGAGGCTGAGGCAGGAGGATTGTTGAGAGTTCAAGGCCACCCTGGACTACAAAATGAGTTCAAAGCCAGCCTGGACTGCATAGTGTAACCCTGTTTCAAAAAAAAAATTGTATTGCTAATACTAATATAAGCTCAATGGGGACAGAAAATGTTTTATTTATTCACTGCTGTATCTATATGCCTAGAATGGTCCATGACACATCATGCTCAACTGAGCTGTTATCTGATGACTGAATCAAGAAAGATGTCCTAAATAATGGCCATTTTCGTAAAGTTTGAAATCAGAGAACCTTTTTTTTTTTAGAATTTAAGTCTTGTACTCCACAATTTTTAGAACATGGCCCAGGCCATCACTCATTTCTTGAAATTCTTTAAATTATAGGAAAGTGGGATAAATTATTCCCTGCCAAATGAGGTCTCTAAATCTGTAATCTGTCTAAGAGTAAGAGAATCATATTTTTGTATAGCTACTTGTGAACGCTCTTACTTAGGAATAGTCTAAATGTTTATAAATAGGTTCAAAGGGCAGCCAGAAATACCTTGCCTTCCGTGCATTCCTTGCTGGCAATATTTTATCCAACAAACGTTGTGTGGCATCTTTTTGCCTGAGAATGTGCTAAGCACTCTAGGCAAAAAACAAAGTTAAAGATACTACCCAACCTTTCTTTGGGGGGAGGGGATTAACTCTAGTTTTTCTGTAAATTCTCTAAGTTTGTTATTGACTGATAAATTTGATTTAAAAAATTTTCTGTGGCTGAGTGTGTAGCTCAGTGAGCACATGCTGAACCTGTGTTCCGTCCCCAACAACTAAATAAAATAAAATGTTTTACTGCTTATTAAATATACTATTTTCTGCCTCTCTGTTTTGTTACACTGGTTTCTGTTTTACCATCTTCCCTTCAGTTTGTATGAAAATGTTAGGTCTTTTTGAAAGGCTCTCTTGTAATGCTTAGGCAAAAACATCTGCTCATGTGTAGGGAGTTTGTTATAATATAAAAATAGAGATGCCAGAGTAAATTATTGCCTATTCCATAAAAAAAGTATTTTCTTAAACTTCAGTAGAGAAAAGAACTTATGTCTCCTGAGGAAGTAGAATTCCAGTGATTAGTGTAAAGCACAAATTGTATGCAGGGACTGATAGGAAATTAAACAGGAAAGCAGTAATAACATGTCTTTTTAAAAAATAGTATTTTTCTTTGTCTGGGGATGTAGCTCAGTAGTAGTAGAGTGGGTACTTAACATATGCAAGACCCTGGGTTCTATCTGCAGAACCCCCCACCCCCAAAAATCCTGAGATAATTATTTGCGTATTGAATCTAAAATATTTTCTTTTTAATGGCAGTAATTACAATTGTGTGTATACAGTGTTATTTATAAAGCATTTTAAAGGAGTACTTTGTGTTTCTTGAACCCAGAGCCTTGGACTTGATAAGCAAGTGCTCTGTCATTGAGTATTGCTCCAGCCCTTTTTATTTAATTTTGAGATAGGGTCTCACTAAGTTGCCCAGGCTGGCTTTGAAATTGTGATCCTCCTGCCTTAGCTGCCCAAGTAGCTGGGATTACAGGTGTACACCACTGGGCATGGCTTTAGCTAGTATTTTTGAAGTGACCTGGAGTATATTATAGTATAAGTAGCCTTTTTATCACCTCAACTTTTAGATGCCAGAAAAATAGAAGCAAATTTAAAACTCCTAATTTCTGCTAA